GCTATAGATAGAATTTCAGGCTATATTCCTGAACCAGATTCCTGTGAGTGTTCTGTTAGTTATATTTACAAATATTTTTCTAGTATCTTTGCTTAAATGCAATACTTGTTTTGTCATCATTTTAGATCAGCAGTAGTGCTGTTATCAATTAACATTTCTTTGTTTATGTGATCTGCATAATTGAGGACACAATTTTTTCATTTTCTTATTCAAGTCTTTCATTTACTGCTTTTATATCTTCAAGAGGCTAACACACTATTGTACCAAACTGCCTTAGTTTCTAGACATCATAGTTAATTACAGCGCTCAGAAAGGACTTGGAAAAGAGGCACACAGAAACAGAGGACACATTAATTGGGACATACTATCACAGCTAATATGTTCTAAAAACCCCCATCAAAGCAGCTGCACAACCCTAAAACACAACTGAAATTCTCTAGAAGATATAGTGGACTTTTTACTGAGAAGGAACATGAGGTGGTTAAAAGTTGGATGCAGAGAGAAGCCTACCAGGTATATGCAAGACCTAGAAAAAGTCTTCAGTGTGTTCAGGAAGATAATCTCTTACCAGGACAGGTATCTATGCACAAAGGGGGGACTTCTAAACAAAATTATTATTATTATTTTTTTAGTGCTGAAAACTTTTCATCTGTTGGCCCTTGGTAAGGAATGTTTGAAAAAGTGCAGTGTTTGATTTAGATGCGATGATTGCTTTGGATACTTTTACATCAAAATCATCCCATAAGTTCAAGTTCTCAGAGAAAAACGCCAATTTGTTGTCTTTTCTCTGGGCCTTTATATTTCTATTTTCAAACAGTTTGCCCCAAGATTTTAGTTTCTTATTCTTCTTCAGGGTTCAAATCACTGTATTTCATTGCTCTTCAGAAACCAAACAAAAAGAAAAAACATTGCCAATGTTTGCAGTCTCTCTGCTAACATTTATGTTACTCTTCTCTAATTTATTTCTCTTTAGAGTTTTCCTAAGAATTATAGGGCATTGAAAGGAAACCTGCTACTCAAATGCCAGAGAGTTTATTCCACATTTACTCTTAGGCAACCAGATGAGCTTTTTGGCATTTCATTCAGACTTGTCTGTGATTAGCTTTTTGTGTCCTCTTCATATTGTTTCATTCTCATTAACATCCACACTAGTGACTTACCATTAGTCATGTCACAGGCTCTTTTATATTGCAGTCGTGTCTAAGATTCTACCTCGTTAAAAAGTCAGCACTTCATCTCTTGTCTTGGCTGTAAGTCCTTCCCACTGCTTCTATCAATTGAAATTTCCTTTCTTCTTTTTCATATTGCCAGCCTCGTCATAGTAAATTGCAGTTTCTGCATTGACTCCTATCTGGTTCTATATGAATATCAAAAACTGTGAAGGCTCTGAGATTTTACTCTACTTTCAAGCTAACAAGTTATCCATGACACAATTTCTGTGTGTCATCCTGACACAATTTAATGGATGTTCATTGTGCTTTACATTTATTACTGTTGCTTATACTTTTCATTTAACTTGGGTCATTTCATTTGAGGCCAGTCACTGGGATAGGGCCTTGGATTCTGAGCTCCAAACAGAAAAGATGTGTGTGTTGCCTGGCACTTGGTATGCTTTGGTTCAGCTTCCTGTTGCCTGGCACTTGGTATGCTTTGGTTCAGCTTCCTTTCCTTTGGTTAATTTGGGGAGGAATGTTAACATGATAATGTATTTTTGTCTTGATACATCACCTTTTTGGTGATGGACTTCATCCTGGCACTAGGGTGGTCTCTTTGCTGAAATATTTTGCCATTCACCCCTCTACTGTTAGGATGATTAGTACCAAGGGTGTATAAATAACAAATGCTCTTTTTCATCTTCTCTGAAACCATGTCCTAAATCCTTCTGTTTTTGTCATTGTATTTGTAGGCACCCATATTGGTAGTGTATGGAGCCTAGCAAATGTAGGACACCCTCTTATTCTCTACCTAGATGACCCACAACTTGGATTTCTGAATGCCAGGACACTAATTATATTTCCCAGACATTGTCCAAAACTGCCATGGTAAGAAACCCAATCCCAGGCTTTTTAGGTCTTATCCATAAGGCGTAACAAAGCTGTGGCCTATGAATCTGACATCTGAATTGTGTTTATGTTATTTTATCTGGTATCCCTTTCTTCCAGCTACTGTATTATTACAGTACTCCAAGCCACTTATAGCTTATGTGCTGGGACTGAGTGTTGTGGGTACTATATTGTGCCCTGTTTACAGATGAGGAAAGGAAGGCACAGGAGGTTAACTACCTTGCCTAAGGTCATAAACTTAGTAAGTGATAGAGCTGGATTTCAGCCTGTAGCTGTCTACCTCTACAGTCTGTGCTCATAACCGCTTCACTTTGCTGCCTCTTCAAATTATTGTCACATAAGAGTTATAGGTAGTAGATGTTGTTATGGATGCAAGCTAGGGGCAATAGAGTTAGAGCTCATGGAGGAGTAAGTTTCAGCTGATTGTTGAAATAAGGGATAGGTCTGAATTTGTGGAGAGAAAAGAGCATTCTAAGGAGCACAAATGAGCAAAGGTTCAGAGATGGGACTAAAATGAGTATGCTCAGGGGACAATGAAGAGATTGAATTGGCTCTATAGAAATAATAAATAACCAATGAACTTGGTTAATACTGGAGGTTTATCCATTAGGATTTTACTGAAAAAAATACTTAGTTTTTGTCTCAAAGTTCTTAGATTAATTAGGTTCTTTTAAAAAAATACTACTAATCTTATCTCATTCATTGGGAACCCTGATTCAGGTTTTAGATGGAAGTACATTAGTAAGGAAATAATAGCATAAAATTCTCAGTCTTGATTATATAATAGAATTTTTTCGCCTGTTTGGTTTTCTTGAGCTAGTCCTGCCCACACCAGCATAATTTGGTTAGTTTAACTTGTGGTAAAATTGGTCTAGCAGGAGGAATTGGATATATGTTGAAATTCTACCAGATTTTGGAAGAAAAACATTATTTTAAGCGTTCTGGTCATTTTTGGTGGAATGAAGGCGTTGCCACGAAGTTGTCATTGGCAGGTTTCCAGACCACTAAACACGGCTTCCTTATTTACAAAAACCACATACACACACACACAGAAACTAGAAATAACGTGAAAACATGTAACTCTGTCAAAGAAATGTCGTGCTTACATAGCCTAGTAAAATTAAGAATCTCTACTGAAATGGGAAGCTGATTCCTCTCCTAAATGTGAGGCTGAAGAATCTGAACTCTTCTCTGGGTTTTGTAACTAATTCACTACCCAAGCTTGAAATATACATAAACAAATCACTCACCAATGTATAGTCATTCATTTGGTAAATTTACAAATCAGAAGAGGTGTGAAGAGCAGGGAGATCAGCCGACACCAAAGGTTAGGAACTGAAGAAGTGTGGGAGGTATAGAGTTGGTATAGAGTTGACCAAGTGGGAGTATCTTTGTGGAATCCTTTGTTTTGATTTGTGTGGATACATTGCTTTTGATGACATAAAGAACTTGAAGGTTAATTTCCTTTTCTAGAGTAGAGAAGCAAACTCCTTTATCACTTACTGTTTCAGACTCTGGATTTACAGTTATCCAGTAACTTTTTTTTTTTTTTGTGAGGAAGATCAGCCCTGAGCTAACATCTATGCCAATCCTCTTTTTGGTGAGGAAGATTAGCCCTGAGCTAACATCTGTTGCAAATCCTCCTCTTTTTGCTGGGGAAGGTTGGCCCTGGGCTAACATCCATGCTCATCTTCCTCTGCTTTATATGGGATGCCGCCACAGCATGGCTTGACAAGCGGTGCATCGGTGCGCACCCAGGATCCAAACCTGCGAACCCTAGGCTGCCAAAGTGAGCACATGAACTTAATCGCTATGCCACCGGGCAGGCCCCTCCAGTAACTTTTTAAAAATCATCAAAAATTACATTAAAGATTATTTTTCCAAGCTAAATTTTTATCAGTATAATGCCATTTCATATAGTGCCTTACCTCTTCAGAAATGTAATTTGTAACATAGATTTTACTGGGCTTTTTAAAACTAGGTTCATAGCTATTTTGAAATGAAGCCTATTTCTAAAATATGTACAAGATCTTATTTTATCTGCAGTTAATTTTAACTACATGCTTTTGCACATGCTTACAAAGTCCCATGTTGTTACTGTGTCAAACTATGTTGAAAATACTTTCTTGTTCATAAAATGAGTATAAACAATAGCAAAAACCAAATCCTAACTGATCTTTAAATGTATCTGCATTAAAAGGCTAAAACCAAGGACTTCTAAATATTCTCTTCCAAAGAACTGTTTGAGATATATCTAAAGAAAATGTTTATTTTCTAAATGTTTTAATTTGGGAGATTCAAATTGTGATTGGTTTTAACCCACTGATAAGGAAGACCGTGTAAACTTTCTCATCTGGAATTTATTGTTCATCATTTCCTCATCTTAAAATTTCAATTCTCCATTAATTTCTTTCTGGGAAGAACATATTCATTTATGGTTCCAGGTGTAGCACAATCTTGTTTGACCTGTGTTAGTTACCACAGTTAATCGTCTGAACCTTACTTAGGCTTTTGCTGCTATGCAATGGGATTATCTATTATTTAACATGTTGTCATTTCCAGCATGTGCTCTCAGTGTCATGTAAATAAGCACAGGCCCTGCCTTTGGAGATTTCCAATCCAGAAAAACTAATAATATACAGACCCACATGCACATTGAAATGTAGGGTAAGAGCGCTAGAAGATGAAGAGTACTGGAAAGGAAATTGAGAATGTTAGTTTTATAATTATGAACAATACATAGTTTGATGTACTTTACTGTATATATTTCCCAATTTAAATAAACTAGGATAGAAAATGAATTTGAACTAGAATTAATTTTATCCATCCTTACAAAGTGGTCATGAACATTTATTAAGAAAAATAAAATAGAGTTGATTGTATTAAGAAAGTGTTGAATCTTAGTTAATGATGCCTCTTTTCTTCTTTCCTTTGCAGAATATATATGTAATTGCTCTGTGATCGGAAGCCTGGATGGGAACCGCTGCAACCAGACCACAGGGCAGTGTGAGTGTCACCCAGGTTATCAGGGGCTTCGCTGTGAAACCTGCAAGGAGGGCTTTTACCTGAATCATACTTCTGGGCTCTGTCTGCCATGTGACTGTCGTCCACATGGAGCCCTCAGCATACTCTGCAACAGGTAAGCAGCAGAGGGTGGAAGTGAAGTTATGTTTATTTTGCCAAGGGAAAAAGCTCCTGCTCTCAAGGACCAGACGTGTTTAAATAAATGGGGAAGGGGGCATAGATTTACAAAATAGTTCAAATACTTTTGTTCCCTTATTTTATATATTGTTTTCAATGTCAAGATTAAAAGCCTTCTAATTTACTGGTTTAGTTCTTCAAAAGCACCTGTGTCACCAATTTTGCTTTGTGATAGTTTCTCTAAATTTCATGGAAAAAAATTATTGAGAAAGCAGTCTGCTTTCTGGAAGCAATAACTTCCAGGCATTTCCAGTGGAAATGTTCTTGTTATGTTTATTAACATACCATTGGAGTCTTAGGAAACTTATTCTTTGGTTTATTTTTTTCTCTTATCAAAATTCTAGAACTGTGTCTTTACACATCTAAGGCTTAAACTTCGTAATATCTTCATTTCTTTAGCTAGTGGGAAAAAGACTGATTTCACTCTATATACCAGTACATTTTTGGGGACCAAAACTAGATTAAGCAAGAATTGTCTGGAAATTATCTGTAAAATAGCATGTTATTTGGAGGTGACTTAATCTAGTAGAATAGTGCCCCATAATCTAAGGATTTGCTTCTACTAAACTGAAAGTAAGTGTTCTTTGACCTTGTAAGAGGCACTTAGCTTTTTGTGCACCCCAGGTCAAAAAGTCAAAGAGACAGTGTTATATAATGAAAAGAACACAAGCTTCAGAGTCAGTATAACCTGGGTGTGGATCCAAGATCTGCTGCCATTGAGGAGCTTTCTGTTTTTGACAAGTTATTTCATTTCTCTGAGCCTCAGTTTCTTCTCAAAGTTGTGAGGGTTAAATGAGTAGAATGTACATAAAATGCCTGACACAGATCACTCAATAAATTCTGGTTTGTTTTAATTTCAAAGGAATATTGTTGGCTTAATGAGGGAATATTTTTAAAGAACTTTTAGCTCCTTGTCAGAAAAGATTCTTTCTGCTTAGCAGTAGCTATTTTGGATGCTTTATAAATCATGTTGTACTATTGTATCATATTGTATTTCTATTAAAAATATAGAAGTGAACTTGATTAAGAACCTTATAATTTCAAATGCAACAGTAATTAATGTTTGTGATGCTTGGTATTTTAAAATAGTTATTTGTCTTAATCCTCACAACAACTCCTTTTATGCAGGTTATTAAATCACAGAGATAGTAAGTGGCAGAGAAGGAATTCCAAATTAGGTATCCTTCCTAATTCTAAATCCAATGTCCTTATCACTATGCCAAATGACTTCTGTAATGAGAAAACTGATAATCACTCTGTTATTTGAGGTTGAGAATATAGTAGTTGCTTACCGTTGCTAAGCATGCCCTTAAAACTCCCTTAAAAACATGCCCACACAAGTTATCTTCAGATGTGACCACCTTTCTTACCATTTTAAAAGATGAGATTTGGATAAGTTTCTTCATTCTGGTATCTAATGGTATGTCCACTACTTGTTTTAGAAGATTCTGCAAACACATTTGCTTTGAGTACCGTTGGAGAGAGAGAAAGGTTGTTACTGCTAGGCCAAACTACCTTATTAGAGAAGAAAGAAATGAGAGGATTGAGAGAGAGTTTTGAAGCTGGAGAAGAGCGGGGGGAAAAAGTAATACTATATTTATGTAATATCTTACTGTTTTCATAGGTCTTTACAAACTTTCTGATTTATCTTTTCCCTGCCAGTTAATGTCATTAAGTGACGTGGGCTGAAACACCATTCTGAAAATAGATAGCAACTATAAAGTGGTAGAAAAGGGCATTGGACTAATAATTCAAAGGTCTAAGGCAGGGGTCTGTAAACCAAATCCATGAACCAAATCCAGCCCACTACCTGTTTTTGTAAATAAAGTGTCATTGGAACACATATATACCCATTTGTTTACTCATTGTTTATGGCTGCTTTTGTGCTGCAGTGGCAGACTTGACAAGTTGTGACAGAGACCGTATGGCCTCCAAGCCTAAAATATTTACTATCTGACTCTTTAAGAATAAGTTCACCAGCTGCTGGTTTAGGGTTCCAGTCATGGTGGGTATTGCCAGGTAACCATATAGCTTTGGGTAAGTCACTTTACTTCTTTCAAGCATTTGTCTTTTCATTTGTGAAGTGAAGGGAATAATCCATGTCCTGTCTCTCTCTTGTATAGAGCTGTTTTGTCTTAAGGATCAAGCAAGATAATGCATGTGTAAACTTTCACAATCTGTACTTGCTAGACAGACAAAAATAATAATAGGAACCATTTATTGAGCATGTACTCTATGCTGGAGCACTGTGGTTAACTGCTTTATGTACATTATCTCCTTTAATCTTCACAAAAACTTCTTTGAGGAAAGAACTAGTATTTTCCCACTTTGAATATTAGAATTTTGATGTCTAGAGGATGTAGTTAACTTGCCTAAGTTTATATACTAAAGCTGCCATTCAATCCAATTGAACCAATGTAATAAGCAAATGCTTATTCTGTGAAGCAGAATGATTTCACAATTAATGTTTTTCCTAGTAGAAAGCCTGTTGGTATTTAACACCCGAATATCCCAGAATGTACTTATCTCTCAATTCAGAGTGTTTTGGCTGATGATTATGTAAGAAAAATTTGTATTTATGTCCCAGAAACTCAATAAAGCCATATACAATGTTTTAAACAAAATAATATGTGGGAAATCTTGTGTTAAACTCCAAATATAATTGATAGAATGTCAGAATCACATGTGGAAGATTTATAAAGTGCACCACATGTCAACAAAGAGAATGTGCAGTGTGTTACTGCACATGAAGCAACTGTTAACAACCATAAGAATTGTTTTTAATCAGGAAGTGATTTTGTAAGCATTTTATATCTTAATATGGGAGTTTGTTACTTATTTGTGCTTTACTGTGTTTTAGTTACACTCTAGGAAGTTGGTTGGTGGTTTGGGGTTGCCATGTAATGCATTGTAATTTTTTTTTTTTTTTTTTTGGTGAGGAAGATTGGCCCTGAGTTAACATCTGCCAATCCTTCTCTTTTTGCTGAGGAAGACTGGCCATGGGCTAACATCCATGCCCATCCTCCTCTACTTTATATGGGACACCGCCACAGCATGGCTTGCCAAGCGGTGCGTTGGTGTGTGCCTGGGATCCGAACCGGTGAACCCTGGGCCGCCACAGCAGAGCGCGCACACTTCACCGCTTGCGCCACCGGGCCAGCCCCTGCATTGTAATTTTTTTCATTTAAAATATTGGAAAAGAGGTTCTTTGTTAGCATTTCATGCAGAATATCTTATTTTTTTGTAATGGATGGTTGATGCTAGGCAGGAGGTGGAAGATAGTATTATTATTACCTGGTCTACGTGGACTTTATTCTATGTACCTGATAGATTCTATTATTCTTAGTAGGTCTTTTTTTAACATGAGTAACATGTGACTTAATATGATCTGCATAATATCAAAGCATGTTGACTTTTCACACCCTTTACCATCATCTTCTAATTGAAATCTGGAAGGACCTTGCTTCCCTGCAGCCTTTTCAAGTGATGACTGTTTTCCCTCTCTTACCTCTCAACCTGGAGTTGGAATGGATATCTTCCTTGCTCCTCATTGCTGCTCCCAGAGTGCCTTCCCTTCTGACTCGCTATTATCTCTCCAGCACTACGTCTGTCATAATTCTGGATGATTTCAATATCTATAGATGTTCCTAACAATGCTTTGGCCTTTCAGTTTCTTGACCTCTCTTCCAATAAGATTTCCTCCATACTTCTTCTCATCTTTATTTCTTTTACTTGCCCTATTTCTTGATTGTCTTTGTCCCCAAGGATAGACATATTAAATTTTTGAGATAAATCCATAATTCTTTTCTATGGGTTACTGCAGAATAATATTTAATTAAAAATTTTTTAACAGTATTATTTCAGAATGTCAGGCAATTTGTCAGAACAAGCAATACATCACAAAAGTCATTTAAAAGCCTGTACTTAAAGTCATTAGAAGGAAGGCATGGGAGCTCTAAATCCAGCTCTAAGCACTCTGTTTCTCACTGCCGGAAAGGAAGTTAAATCGACATGAGAATAGAGGAACAGAAATAGGAAGTTTCAGGGCTATGTGTTTTGGCAAGAACGTATGGGTAAACTATGATGAAACACCTCTATGTTCTGCTCAGCTATAAATTTGTGTGGGTGAGTTAAGGGAAAAAGGAAATCTTAGGCAAGTAGTGTGATATGTAGTAGAAAGGAGGTGGAATCTGAAATTAGTAGACTTTGATTCCGTTCTTGGTTAGGCACTTATTAACTCTACGACCTTGGTTAAGACGTTTGATCTCTCTGAGCCTCAGTGTTTTTGTCTGTAAAATAGGATTAATATATGTAACATGAAGGATTTTTGTGAGAATTAAATTATGTGTATGTGTGTGTATGTGTGTGTATATATCTGCTAACATTGTGACTGGCACATAGATTCAGCTCAATAACTCCCTTGGAGTTGAATCTGTTTTTTTAAAAAAAAAGCAAAGAATAGAATTGGTGACTCACAAAAGATGAAGATTAAGTCAACCAGTCTTGGGTTAGAGTAGGGATTGGGATATTTGTTTCTGTTGGTAGGCTAAAAAAGAAATTGTTCATTATATCAGGAAAAAAAAACAGTTTAGCTAATTTTGTTCCATTTTCATAAAGAAATCTATTATACCTTTTAAAATTGGACATTCTGTGTTTTAGAATAATAATAATAGCTAAAATTAGTTGAATACATGCTAGGCACTATCCTAAGCCCTTTGCATGTAGTAATACATTTAATCCTCACAGCAACCATATCAGGTAGGCACTGTTATTATTCTCATTTGTACAGGAAAATAATGGCAAAATAGAATGGCAAACTTATGAGGTAGTAGCCAGTGAGTAAGAGTTGGGATTTGAAACATATACAATCTGGATCTAGAGTATATGTTCCTATCCACTACGTTGGTACAGGCTTTCTCAAAATCTCAGATATTGAGC